AAGGACATGGAGGTACCGTAATCAAGTGATCATCTAATAAAGCCTTGGTAAGCTGATATACTCGAGAGGACCAGTGGTTAATAGATCGCAAGTCATTTCGCAAGAAATAACTTGGACACCACCAACGAGGAACTAGGATCATTAATGATGTTTTGGACATGTAAACATTTTTCTTTGAAGTACTTCACTTTCGTCAAACATGTCTTTTTCAAGTTTGAAAATACTCTAATATGTGTTTTTATTACTGTGAGTAATCTTAATTAGTGTCCCAAAGAAATTGCTAAGAACACCCGTATACTAAAGATTGATTAAAAAAAACGTGCAAGTGGATTAACATTCGACAGAAAATCTAAAGGTAGTTTCATAACGAGCTAATGTTTAGTTTACTGATATTATATCATAAAGAAGGTTTATTGAAAAAAAAATGAAAAGGTTTTGATCTCATTGAAAACAAAATCATGCAAAAGCTTTCAAGTTAAAACTTTTTGAAAATTTCAAATATGTAAAATTGACAGCACCCTCAAAATCTGATTAAATCAAACGTATGGACCGGACTACTTATGATCTGAGAGGCTAACTCACATCATGTTGAAACTTGGGACTTGCATCGAAAATTAAATTTGACGATGACTTTATTTGAATGGGCCAATAGGACCAAAATGTAGGGAAAATTACAAAAAAAGTCCTAAACCTATTGTAATTGTGCCAATTCAGTCCTAAACCTTTTTTTTTGTCAATTCAGTCCTAAACCTTTTGCAATTGTGCCAATTCAGTCCATTCGACCACTTTTGGCTGACCATCGCTGACGGGGACGCCGGGCGGCTGACGTGGCATTATTTTAATATTTGTTTTCGAAATTTTTTTTCCTTTCTCTTTTTTTTTTTCTTTCCTTCTTCCCCTGGCCGGACCGGCCAGGGGGAGGTTCGCCAGCGAGATAACCTCGCTGGCCACTGGGGAGGCTCGCCCTTGCTGCGCGAGCCTTGCCCAGCTCCAGCGAGAGCCGACGAGGGCGGAGCTCACCATGGCTAGGCGAGCTCTGCCCTCGCCGCCACTGGGCGAGCTCAACCTCGCCCAGATCTGGCGAGGTCAAGCTTTGCCATGGCTGTGGATGAGGTCGAGCTCGCCCAACCGAGGTCGAGCTCCGCCCTCGCCTCGCCCAACGACAGCGAGGCTCGCCCTCACTAGTGCCGGCGAGGACAAGCCTCCCTAGTGGCCGGCGAGTCGGCCCTAGCCCCTGGCCGGTCCAGCCACTGGGGGAAGAAGGAAAGGCAAAAAATAAAATAGAGAAAGGAAAAAATAAAAAAAATTTCGAGTTCCGCCATCGACAGCCCTCGCCAGATCTCGGTGAGGTTGAGCTCGCCCAGCGGCAGCGAAGGCGGAGCTCGCCCAACCATGGCGAGCTCTGCCCTTGCAGGCCCTCGCCAGTGCCGGTGAGGGCGAGCCTCACCGTCGCACAGCCATGGCAAGGCTCGACCTCGCCAGATCTGGGCGAGCTCGACCTCACCCAGATCTGGCGAGGTTGAGCTCGCCTAGCCATGGTGAGCTTCGCCCTCACCGGAGCTGGGCGAGGCTCGCCCTTGCCGATGAGCCTCCCCCTGGCCGGAAAGAAAAAAAAGAGAGAAAGGAAAAAAATAAAAACAATTCGAAAAAAAATTATTAAAATAATGTCACGTCAGCGGGCCGGCGCCGGTCGGCGTCCACGTCAGCGCCGGCCGGCCGAAAGTGGCCGGATGGACTGAATTGGTATAATTGCAAAAGGTTTAGGACTGAATTGGCACATTTGCAATAGGTTTAGAACTTTTTTGATAATTTTCCACCAAAATGTAAGTCAATGACACGACAGCTTAATTAGAGCAATAACATCACAAATGCCCTTTGGGTATTATATCTTATTCAATTATTAAATTCCAATGGACGAAATCGAGAGCATAATGAATATTTCTATAATGAGATCCGTCGTTTGCTGAGGTTTAGTGGCATAAGTCGAGACACAATTCCATTATCGAGCTAAAGGTAACTCGATTTGTGCAAAGATCAATATCCAGCTCGAACTTAATTTAGTTTTTAGTGAATTCAAGCCCAAGTATTCGACTTGCATTAGAAAGTAAATTTATTTTGAGCTCGAATCAAACTCAAGTAAGAATAATGAAAATAATATCCTTTTTCTAGATGTTATATTTATAGTTTGATTATATGCATGCGCTTAAATATAATTCAACAGCTCGATTAGCTAGGCTCCAAAGCATGATACTCAAGTCAAGCATTTTCAAGCTTGAACTCGGCCCAATTAAGAACTTTTTACTTGAACTCGGCAAGATTTTATGAATCAATCTCAAGTATCTCATGAGTAGCTTGATTAATTTCCATTCCTACGGGCGACCTCTTCGTTATATATACCTCGGAACCATTATCACTTGACTTTACCATAAAAAAAAAAAAGAAAAAAAAAAGTAGGCATTAGATTCGTAAGACCAAGATGCGTCAATTGAGTTAGGGAATGGGTGATCACTGGCTTCCCCTTTTCTCCACCTTGAATAATTGGATAAGAAACCTACAAATACTCCACAGTAGTGTGGCATCTTTCCAAGGTAACTAGAAATGGCACTCGCGTTATCGGGGAATAAATTAGAACTTTTATATAGTACTTTTTAGTGAAAATATAATTTTTTGGTACCATTATTAATCTTAAAATTCGACGGGTTTAATCAAATTTCCTATAATTAAAGGTAAAAAAAATAACACATGTCATCTCAGTTATATTGTAAGTCAAAACCTCACACTAAAATTTAATTTTATATATTAGGAAATAAGAAATCAATTTTTTTTTAGTCACTCCACAATAATATCAAAGTATTGGGAGGATGTCTCCCTCAGTGTTACAGGCAGTCCGGAATTTTTTGAGAAATAGATATAGTTCCTCAATATCTCAATAATACTCTAAGGCTGCGTTTGGTCGACCGTATAAAAGCCAGGATAGGATATGTTTTATCCTATCCTGTGTTTGGTGGTGGTCCAGGATAGGATAAGGTCGGATATAGACCGGATATAGCCCGGATAAAAAAATCCGGGGGGAGGGGGTAGGATAGACCCGGATAGGATTTCTAATGCCTATTTTTCCAGAAACTCTACGCTCCACTCGCCGTCATCTTCATCCCCACACCTTGTGCGCTTTCACAAAAACAATTTCTCGGCTTTTTTTTCTTCACTGACTTCTCCGAACCCGTGAATAGCAAAAAATAAAATAAAATTTATCCTATCCGACTTTAAATCCGTAGTCCACCAAACAGTGAATAGGATATGAAGAAATCCCAGGATTTCTTATCCTATTCTATCCAGTCCTATCCTGTTTAGAAATCCGGACGACCAAACGCAGCCTAATAGTTTTGATCCCTAAAGTCCAAAATATTGAAGATGTTTCGCAATATCGTCCATCTAGCCTTTGCAATTTCCTTTACAATATCATATCCAAAGTTCTTGTCAATAGGCTCAAACAATTTCTTCCACAATTAGCTTCTCCTAATCAAGATGCATTCAGTGGACTTATCCATGATAACATCATAGCGGCACATGAGGTGTTCCATCGCGTGAAACTAAGGTAAAAGGGTGAAAAGGATGGTGTTCTCTCAAAGCCAACACCAGAGTTTATCATAGAGTTGAGTGGGATTTATTAGAATTGGATATGACAAAGTTTACATTCAATCAAACTTGGATTGACATGGTTATGCTCTGTGTAAGATCAGGTTCCTATGAATTGCTGCTTGATGGAAAGAGAACAGGTAAGATCTATCCAACAAGAGGAATCAGGCAAGGAGATCCTCTTTCTCTTTTACTTGTTCATCTCCTTATCTATTCATCTTGATTGTCAATGTTCCCTCCCATATTTGAACTAATGCAGCTGAAACAGGGATGATACAAGGAAGGGACACTATTTCCACATACACTTTTGCTGGATACACACCCTAATATCGTCAACCGTCGAGAACTCACCTACACAAACTATCAATATTCAAGACGTCAAACCCAGCTTGATATACGGAATTTCTGTACCATCTCTGTCTTGTTCTCTCCGGCATCAACTCTTTGAGGGGAAAAAACAACTGTCCTGTTGCCGATTCATATCCGAATCTGGACAACAAGATTGAGCTAAACTTCACCTAAGCATGATAACAATTACAAAGACACTTAGAAAATGGAAACGCCTGTTCCGAATCCAACGAACTCTCATGAATACCCACCCGTCAAAAGTGGCAACTGAGTAGAAATGATCTGCAACCTGTGACCTATTTCGAAGAATGGATTGCGAGAGTAAGATGACGGCTTTGAAAACTACTGACGAGAGGGTGGGAATAACGGTTCTCTTCAGATAATTGTACATTCCAAAGAGAGAAGACTCAGTCATCAAGTGTTGAACGGCTCAGATGTGTTTTCTTTAAAAGATCTGAAAACTGTTATCATCTATACAGTTAAAAGATAATCCGATTCCATGAATTAGAATTACTTGGAACAAAAATGCATTTGTGATTCTTTATCAATGGACTCGCGTTAACTGTCTCTGGGCAAGATTAGAAAACTTGCGAATCGATGTGAATAACTAGTGGTTCAAGAATTTCCTGCACTCAAGTGGATCACTCCCCACAAATTTGCTTGACATGTCAATTTCAATGGAGACTTGGAAAAGTAAGTCAAGAATGCCAATCCTAATAGCAAAATGACTAGGGATTAAGTCCCATCGTTCTGTACTCTTTATTCATTATCCCCTATAGCGCACTCTAAACTGATTGAGAAAGGGAAAGATTTGATCTTGCAATATATCGTCAATGAGAAATAAATGCTTCACAATAAGCCCCATTTGCTAAAAAACACTGTGCTGCTGTAAAAGGCATTGACCTCGACTACGGCTTCATTGAATGATCTTCCATCTATAAGAATGTCATCAATCTTGTTAACAATGTGTACATCTGAACCATCTCACCTCCCAAAAACCAACAATCCCTCAAATCATGGTTTCTTCCTTACAACTGTCCAACCAGTCTCCTTTAGGTGTCTTCTTGTTCTTCTCGCTGTTATTGGTCGACACCACTTCATTATATGGTGCAGGCGTTTCTGCTTCCTCCACTTCTTTTTTCGCTATCAAGGCAACGGAGAATAAGGATGAAGCAGTGGCCCTCCTGAATTGGAAATCTACTCTTGAAAACCATAGCCAATCTCTCCTGTCTTCATGGCTCGGTAACAATCCCTGCGGCTTTACTGGTGTCGCATGCGATGACTATGGAGCCATCACCCATCTAAATCTTGCCCATTTTGGTTTGAGAGGAACTCTAGACGGCCTAGACTTCTCGAGCTTAACCAATATGGCTGGGTTTGAACTTGGCAACAATTTGATCAGTGGCTCCATCCCCTCGAGTATCGGTAACCTTTCCAAACTCAACTCACTTCATCTTTGTGGTAATGAACTATCCGGGGACATTCCTCCAAGTATAGGTATGCTAGAGAGTCTTCATTCTTTGTACCTATGTGCGAACAACTTGAGTGGACACATCCCTCAGGAGATTGGACGGTTGGATTCTCTTTTGGAACTTGATTTTTCTGAAAACAATTTCACCGGTCCAATCCCTGCTTCACTAGGGAACTTGAGCAGCCTGATTAAACTCAATCTATCGAAAAATCAACTTTCAGGGGCCATTCCTACTTCTCTTGGAAAATTAGACAATTTAATCGAATTAGGCATTTTTCGAAATAACTTCTCTGGTTCCATTCCAAGAGAGATAAGTGACTTGAGGAATTTGAAGTCTCTTTGGTTATGGCAAAATGGACTTTCGGGACCCATACCTTCAGATATCGGGAGGCTCACTTCTCTTATTGACCTTGACCTATCGGTCAACTCTCTCACGGGATCAGTTCCTCATTCCATCGGAAACTTGACAAGTTTATCTATCCTTCACCTCTTCCAAAATAATTTGATTGGTTCAATTCCTACTTCTCTTGGAAAATTGGGCAACTTAACCGAATTAGACATTTCAAGTAATATTCTTTATGGTTCCATTCCACAAGAAATGTTCAACTTGAGGAGCTTGAAGGTTCTTAGCTTACGGAGAAATAGAATGTCAGGCTCAATCCCTCGAGAAATTGGGAGATTGATATCTCTTAGAGAATTACTTTTAACAGATAATAATTTGACCGGTCCAATCCCTGCATCAATTGGAAGCCTGGCCAATCTAACTAAGTTACACCTTGGTTTCAACAAATTCGTTGGTTCCTTGCCTTCTGAATTTAATAAGTTGACACGTTTGAGTTCTTTGACTCTATCTAATAATGAACTAGAGGGGCAATTGCCAGAAGATGTATGCCTTGGGAGATCACTGCAAAAATTCATCGCCTACAATAATCATTTCACAGGTCCCATCCCAACAAGCTTAGAGAACTGTAGCACATTAATCAAATTGAGGCTACGAGGAAACCAACTTACTGCAAACATAACAGAAGCTTTCGGAATATATCCGCATCTAAATTTTATGGACTTGAGCCACAATCATTTGAAAGGTGAACTTTCGTGGAAATGGGAGCATTATCGTAATTTGACGAGCTTAAGGATATCAAACAACAACATTTCTGGTGAGATACCCTCAATATTTGGAAGGATGGCTCGTATACGTGTACTGGACCTTTCTTCAAATAATTTACATGGAGAGATTCCAAGAGAATTGGCAAATCTTTCGATGTTGTTAGAACTCGATCTAAGCAACAACGCAATCATAGGAAATGTCCCGATTGAGATTGGACGTTTATCCCATCTGGCACATCTAAACTTGGCATCCAACAATTTGAGTGGATCAATTCCGACACAACTATGCTCATGCAAGCGCTTGTGGAGCTTGAATTTAAGCAGAAACAAATTCCAGAGAAGCATCCCTCCTAAGATAGGCAACACACAAGTCCTTGAGGTTCTTGATTTGAGTTATAATATTCTGTCTGGAATTATCCCGGGAGAGCTTGCGGAACTGAGAAACTTGCACTTTCTAAATGTATCTCACAATAGCATGTCTGGTTCCATCCCACCTACTTTTGGTGACATGTTGGCCTTGATTTCCATTGATGTATCCTACAATGACCTAGAAGGTCCTCTCCCAAATGTCAAGGCTTTCAATGAGGCTCCATTCGAGGCAATTCAACATAACAAAGGGCTCTGTGGAAATGTTGTCGGTTTACCGAAATGCAATCCTATCGGGAGCAAGAAACGCAATCGACGCGTTGGAGCTAAACTCAAATTTATCCTCATTCTCAGGGTTTCTCCTTCTCTCTTGCACCTCGATCGTTCTTGTAATCATCAATCATCGTCGAAGAAGGATTATCAAGAGAGAGAACAATGAACGGGCAAATGATTTGGATTTCATGCGTATTTTAAGTTATGATGGTAGAGTTTTCTATGATCGAATTGTCGAGGCCACGGAAGGATTTGACTCCAAGTACTATGTGGGTGAAGGAGCATATGGAATTGTTTATAAAGCCAAGCTATCAGAAGGTCAAATTGTTGCTGTTAAGCAAACCTTGCCATCCCAGGAAAAAAGTGACACCGTTGATTTGATACCATTTGAGAGAGAAATTCAAGCCTTAACAAATATACGTCATCGCAACATCGTGAAATTTTATGGATTCTGTTCTCATGCCCAACGTTGTCTTTTGGTGTATGAGTACATGGAAAGAGGAAGCTTGAGAACTACTTTGAACGATGATGAAAGAGCAGTAGAATTTCAATGGGGCGAGAGGGTAAATGTTGTCCGAGGAGTTGCGGATGCATTGTCCTATATGCATCACGAAATTTCACCTCCGTTGATTCATCGAGATTTGACCACTAACAACATTCTATTGGATCACAATTATGAGGCTCATGTTTCCGATTTTGGCACTGCAAGACTGTTGAGACCAGATTCATCAAACTGGACTGCTATTGCTGGCACCATTGGGTATATTGCTCCAGGTACTTCGTTTTTTTCGATTTCAATGACATTCAATGTCAGACATCCCTTCTACAATCGAACTTTTACTAGTTTAGTGTGATTGTTTAGTTATTTTATCTTCTTATGGAGATTAGTTTACTCATTTAAGTTAAGTGTTGATCACAAAGCTTTCCTATTTCCAATAAGCAAGTGTTGGCTAATGAGGAAAAACATAATAATGGATCCATTTCAAGGATATTGCTCGTACTTAATGCGTCAAACAAAATCCATTGAACTTCGCCAAAGCATAAACTCCTATGCTCAAATCAGGGGAAAATTACCAGAAATGTCCTAAACCTTTTGTAATTGTGCCAATTTAGTCCTAAACCTTTTTTTTTGCCAATTCAGTCCTAAACCTTTTGCAATTGTGCCAATTCAGTCCATCCGGCCGGCCGGCGTCCACATCAGCGCCGGCCGGCCAAAAGTGGCCGGATGGATTGAATTGGCACAATTGCAAAAGAGTTAGGACTTTTTTTGTAATTTTCCTCTCAAATCAGTGTTGTAAGTGTAGATTAAGTAGAAATTTGTACATGTAATTGTCACGTCATAGGAAGCAATGTTGTCCACTTAAATACAATTTATGATTGAGGTTATTAAAATCTGTGAATTCTCTACTTGCAGAGCTGGCTTATTCTACAATTTCTACCGAAAAATGCGATGTGTATAGCTTTGGAGTCATTGCATTAGAGACAATCATGGGTAAGCATCCAAGGGATTATGTCTCCTGGGAATGTTCATCATCTGCCCAAATTCGGTCACCAATGTTGTTGAAGGATGTGTTAGATCAACGTCTCTCACCTTCTAGACTTCGTCTTCAAGATGCACAAGATGTGGTCTCGATCATCAAGCTAGCATTTGCGTGCTTGCAAGCTGATCCACGGCTTCGACCAACCATGAGACAAGTCTCGCATGAGCTTCATGTTCAAGTGCCCTTGGAAATGCCACACTCCTCAGTTAGCTTAGAGCAACTTTGCGATCTCAATGTCAGGAAATTTGGAATATTCACAGGAGATGGTAAGTTTTGAAGTTACTTTTTCATATGCTATTGCGTTTCATTTTTAATCATAATGACGATCTCCTTTTGAATATCTTCTTAGGTCTCACTAATCCCAACCATGTGATTTATGATTTTCACTGCAGAGTCAACTTCTCTATGAATGGAAAGGGACCCTCTCTCCCAGTTGGATGTCTAGACCTTCCCGAACTCTTTGGGATTTACTCTGTATGGACTCTAGTCAATTCTGTTACTGTGGTTCGTCCTTTGAATGATATAAAATGAGTATGTTTCAGACCCAAAAAAAAAACTTTTCTATGAATGTTATAGGAACAGTACGATGTTTGATGGTTTGGAGTCGTTAGACTAGAAATAAGGGAACGCTTCTAGGGAGATCTCATTTCACTACTATCTTCAACTTCTTGCTCAGCGATCCAGAAGTGATTTTGCAAAATACGTTGGGTCGACATCTCCTACCTTCTTTGAATCAAGATGTAACAAACATGTAGTTTCCATTGCTAGAAGAGATAATGATACTAATAGTCTACGAACATTTAGTGATGTGCCGTGACATACTTGAACTTTCAATTGGTCCAATTAGATCCCTAATATATTTTAATATTTTTATTGTCATCCTTTCATTACGTTAAAGGAAATATGGCACGGACAGCTGATGTTTGATGGAGAGCAGGTGGATCTCGTTAGTGTTGTGTTGACTTGAAATTGGAAAACTATAATACAGGTTCCTTTACCATGTGCACTATTTACTCATAACTTCTTCTTTTCTCAACCCACATTATCATCCAGTTGATCTCTTCAATAACGTTTTTAGGTTTCTTGTCCCAAGAAGAATAAGGATGACGACTTTGAAACCTATGCTATTAAAATGTCCGGAAATTTTAATTATTTTCTTTCGAAGCATAGCGAAAAATCCTCCCTCATTCTCCATTTGACAAAATTTCGATTGAAAGCCTTGAAGAAGAAATAAGACCATGTTGTTCATAGTAAGTTAGTGGTTTTTAATCAAAGAAAGTAAAAAGTAAACAAAAGAAATTGCAATTTCGAAAAATCTGTCCCGTGATCTACAGCCTAAGGTGCTCCTTACCTAGGTTAGGCTACGCCTCCGCGATCCAAATCTTAAATCATCCTAGGAGCCACCACCAATCAAATTTCTAGGTCGATTGGGAACCTAAAATCCCAAGTGTTAGGGAGAAGTCAACTAATCACGTAGGGGTTAACTAATTTGAGGAAACAAAAACATCTTAGCCCGGGAGTTTAGTTACGCGTGAGGGAAGGGCTAGCAGCCCCACGTCGCCTACCACATTACTTTGTTAAGTTCTATCATGCAATATCATAGGATTTCCTAATTTACACATAAATATAGTTTTCTATGGGTTTTGAAAATAATAGCTTGCCGCCGTTACCTCAGGGGATATCGCCTCATGATGGGGCGGACGACAACTTGACTCCGTTGTGCCGTATGAGATTGATGTCATTTCAAAAATATGCAATGCAGTCAAAGCAGGTCTAACGGATGAATTTATCCATATCAATCAGACATTCGAATAACACTAAAAACAAAACAGGACGAATCCAGTCCAAACAATGCGTACCCTATACACCCTCGTGTATATTCTATATCAGTATAGAGGGGACGAATCCTGTCCAACAAATAGACAGACAATATAACTCGTGTATATCACAACATCGGGGATCGAGGCCAACCTCGCAGCTTGTAGCCAAATGGGCGTGGATTCAATGCCCTATGTACACAAGGTGTACTACTAACTCATGGGGATACATCCAAATCCAAAATTCAATTTCAGCATTTGCTCGCGATATTTAACGACATACAATCTCATAACAGAGTGCGATTTTGTCACATCAGCATGCATGACGTGTAATCTACTTCATGCAAATTCTGTCGCGACCAAGAGCAATTCGAAATCGACATATAATTTCAAGCAGCACGCATTGTGCATTTTTACATATGTATTCATGTGTATGACCTAATTTTGTCATTAGCATACACAAACCTTCGGCATTTTATTTATCATCATTCAATTACAACCGACATTTAAAATTAGATCCAGTCCAGAAAGCGTGCAAAGCATCCACCTTGCAGATCATACAAAATTAAAAAAAAATTTACTTCATGGCATAATTTCAAAGTACGAATGCAATTTTGA